GTGCGTTGTGCTTGCGATGTGCGAGGCGCAGGGCTGCTTCCATGCGATGCCTAGCACGCATGCTGTGCAGCGATGCCTGGCCCAGCTTGGCTAGCAAGCATGTATAACGAGCACGCTGCTAGCTAGCGTATGCGATGCTTGCGCCTAGCGATGGCTGGGGCTGGTGCGTGCCACTACCTAGCATCACGCATAGCGCAGCACGCCTAGCATGCTGTTATGCGATGGTGCGTGGCTGCGATGGCTAGGCGAGCTGTGCTAGGCCATGCCTTGCGCCAGCACCTAACATGCTAGGAAGGCCTAGCCTTGCGATCTTTGGGCGCATGGCGTGCTAGCACACACGTAAGGTTGCGATGCTTGCGGTGGCTAGCTAGCATGCATGGGCCTAACACGCCTAACAGCTAGGCTTGCGACTAGCATAGCGATGGGTCTTGCCTAGCCTAGCACTCACATGGCTAGGCCAATGCGAGGCTACGGCTAGGCTCGAACTTGTAACTTGATTGATTTCACGTCTCGTCGAATCCAAATTCGACTCGACTTGCGACGCTCAGTTTCGACTCTCTAAGCTCGATATCTGACGTCTTTGTTCGTAAAACTCTGACGACTCATCAAATTCTTCGGATTGACTCGTCGTCTCGGATCGGTTGTTCGATTTGGTTCAACCCGAAGGGTTCAGTCAAGATTAAGCTGTAATATTAATTGTACATTAATATTACTGATCAGAAGCGGCCTCCACCTAGGCATTCCGATCACTTGACCTTACTGAAGAACTAGCTATCTAATAATTCTGAACCCTCTATCGGAATATTACACTTGTTGGGAGGACACCATTCCTTTCAGTTGGGCTATGCGTGGTGCTGGGTAGTGGCACGCACCAAGCAACAGCACGCTATGCGTGCTAGGCCTCACATAGCAGCATCACGCACAGCATCCCAGCGATGCATGCGTTGGCTGGCTGAGTGGCTGCGCATGTGGGAGGGCAGGATCGCCAAAAGCCCAGCCTTGGTGCTAGGCGCTAGCTGGCTTCCTTGGCAGCCAAGGCAGGCTGCCAGCCTACCACGTAGCTTGGTCAGCCGATCATGGGGAGGGGACCTAGGGTTAGTAGTTAACTTGGGGAGCAAGGTGACTTGGTCCCCCCTTTGGGTGGTCCTAACCTTCTCTCTTCCTCCTTATGCCACTTGTAGCTTGTTGATTGAATTCTAATTTTATTTTTTTTATTAAAATAAAATAGGGAAATTGCAAATCTCCCACATTGATTGAGAATGGGAAATCAAGGTTCATTTCCCTATAAATACCACAGTTTTGGGATTTGGGAATAACACTTGAGTGGAACTAAAAAGGAATCTCCTTAGAAAAGTGAGAAAACCTTAAGTTCGTAATACTCTAGTTTTTATTGGTCAAGTCCCGACTAACCTTCTGGACTAGGACCGTTTGGGTCGGGTTCGTGGGTATGAGCCGTTGGAGACCTTCGCATTTGCGGGGTTCGGGTTTTGAAGTAAGAGCTCGGCATCGAGCGAAGCACTCGTCAAGGGTATGAATGTCTTTTCCTTTTCTCTCTTAATTGTTGTTTAATATGTGATTGCATGCTTAGTTGCCTTAATTAGTAGGCGGGTCTTGGGCGGGTTTCTCTTCCACGTAGAGTCGGACTCTACGAAACCCAACAAAGACTCTTATGAGGTTCAACATTATATTGAAAGGAGTTTCAATCCCATGTAACATGGCACATTGCTTAAAGATTCAATGCTTTGAGAAAGGTTGATGAAGTTAAGGGTTTGAGTAATGCTCCTTGTGCATCTTGCAAAGGATGCATCATGCATGTCATGGACACTGATTTATTTGATTCACACGTTTTAAGAATATGTGGTGATAGATTTCAATCGAAAAACCAATGTAACATTGGGATACAAATTAGACATTCCTAAATTCCTTGCGCAAGGATGAAGGAAGATTCTTAGTGTATGGAGATAAATATTATTATTATAAAATATAGAAGTTGCAAAATTCATGTTTATGAGAACGTTTCATGAATTGTAATAACTAAACTATTTCAATAGCCTAAAGACACAAAAGGCTTATTTGAAATAACATGATAGTGGATGGTTTTGATTGTGTGCTAGGGAGTCACAATTGCAAAATCATCAATCATGTTTCCTTATGTTTATCAATTGAAACAAAGTTTGAATCTTATTTTAATCATGGTTTAGTAATAAATAAAATGTCCAAAATAATTTTGAATTGTTGGGATCATCAAATACGTCATTTGGTGAATGAAACCCCACAGCTGAACTAAATTCATAAATTATTATAAGTTCCTAGTTCGAAATCATTAAATTGGACATAAATGATTTCAATGAATGGACTGGCATGTAAGATTGATTGGATAGCGCAATTTCATGGGTTATAGGGGCATAGAGATGCTCGGTCAATCACATGGATATGCATGAATGATGCATGATCGAACTATTGACCTACTTTGAAGTTCAAGTATAGAGCTACTGAATATATTAGTGGATTCCTCAAACATGAGTGGAACACTAATTTCATTCAATGATTGATTTAACTGTGGCACATCCAAACGTCATTCCATCAAAGGGGACTATAAAAGGTGTTTCCTAGTTACTTCAAAAGTTGAGTGGAAGCTTCTATTGCCACAAGATTGTGAGTTTACCTATTCAATTGAGAATGTGTCATGGCCCCTTGAAGAGGGAGAATTTAGAAAATGCATGGCCGTGCTCAAAGGGATTACATAGTAATCATTTGTTTTTGCAATTCTAACTTAGTTTTCAAGAAATGATTTGTAGATTAATATGATCACGACATGAGATGCAATCATATTATCAAATCGACACACATTGACTTAATGAATTTGAATATTGCACTCTTGTCTCAGACAAGTGGGAGATTGAAGGATTTATGTCTTCGTCAAGTGCAATTACTACGTATGTCATGGATCACTATTATGGAGATAATAAGTTCATTCTTTTGGGTCATCATTGTCTGTTGCTAGACGTGATAAATGATCTTTAGGTTAGTCAAATAGTCCAAAGCATAATAGAATGGATCCTATAAGGTCACACATAAGGGTCATGGATAAAACAAAGCATGAAGCCCATTCATGGACCTCATGAGGTAATGACAAGCCATATAAGAAGTAGGGCTAGAGTAGTTTGGGTTGGATTAGGAGTTTGGGCCTCACATGGAATCTAATTATATATTAGATATATAAGTAAAGGCCTTGCCTAGGTTAAGTATACAAGTCACAATTAACCTAAGCAATAAATTGTGAAGCAAGCAACTAATTTCTCCCAACCCCTCTCACACACGCCTCTCTCTCTCTATCTCCCCTAGTCTGTACAATACGTACCACCAGTGCACGGTGATTGCTCGGCGGTGGTGGTGGTGGTTCGTGGCTTGTTCGTTTCCTCCCCTCTCTGTAGAAGGTGGCTCGAAGTGTTCGTGCCTGACTAACTAGCATTAGTGGAGGTGCAATCCTAGCCCGTGGACCATGTAGAGGAGCAACACTTGGGGCTCTTATTCTCCTATTCGTTCATGGTCGATCGCTTGTGGAAATCACGCATCAAAGGTATGAATTATGTGATTCTTTTTGTGTTATGCTTGTAGATCCTGTTTAGGTGCGAACGAATATGATTCGTGAAATTCCGCAATATAGTACCTAAAACCCTACAATATAATGGATCAAATTATGGAGATAATTAAGTTCTCTTTTTTGGGTCGTCATTTTATCATAGCTAGAGGTACTTATGACCTTTGGACTAGTAAAACAGCCCAAAGCCCAATTAAACGGATCCTATAAGGTCACACAAAGGGCCTAGATTGAGCATAAGAAGAATAGGCCCATGTTAGGCCTCATCACTCTAGGTGGCCGGCCATATGGAGTAGTTTGGAAGGTTTCGGGCTTTCTAACCTAGTCTAATTATAATATGATTATAAAAGGACTAAGTGCCTAGGGTTATCACAACACAGTATTACTTTTATCAAACCCGAGTTAGCAAACACGAAACCCAACCCCTCTCAAACTCTCTCTCTCTCACGGCTCTCTCTCCCCTCCTTGCGCTGATGTGTGTAAGATGGTGGTGCGGTTGTCCGCAAAGGTGGTGATCGTGGTGTTTCCCTTCATCCGACCAATCTAGCATTGGTGGACGGCTCATTCGAATCTCGTGGACTAAGTAGAGGAGCAATCCTTGGGGCTCTATTCTCTCCCTAATTGTCAATCAATTTGCTACGTGGAATCACGCTTCAAAGGTATAATTATGTGATTCTTTGTGTGTTATGCATGCGATCTTGTTTTAGGTGCGTATGAATAGATATTCATGAAATTCCTCTTAGAGTACCTAATTCCCTACAGTTAGCCCCCCCCCCCTCCTCTGATGGCTAGGAAGGTTTCGTTTAGGGGTTTCAAGTGGGTGGGAGGGTTTTTGAGAGTGGTTGAGGTTTTCATTGGTGGTGGCCAGTGGAGATGTATAAGGAGTAAGGAGTGGCAGTTCTTCAGGTGGTAGCGTTTAGGTGGTTGCGATGGAGGGGTGATAAGGAGGGGAAGGAGGAGTCTAGAGAACAATGGCACCATGGTGGAGGGGAATGAGGAGAGAGAAGGGATTTTAATGTCATGCGTATCACATGATAGACAAAACCGGAAACTTTTTGTCAATGGCCGAATTTTATCAAAAGTGCCAGTGTCACAAAAATTTTAAAATAAGGTCCAAATCTGCAACTATTTTCATATAAGGACCTTTTAAGGTCCTTTCTCACAAATTACTCTGTATTTGTTGGGCGCTTCACATGCTACTCACCCAAAAGCAGAGATCTTTACGTTATTTTGCACGTTATTATTAACTGACCTACGAATGGCTACAAGATTATAGTTCTTGCTTTCTTTTGTTCTTGAGTTTTAAGCTTTGTAAACCATAAATAATACAAGTAAAAAACACCAATAGTTTTCTATTTCACTTGAGTGTTGAGTACGCAGTGTCTCTGACTTAGGTAGATATACCAATATAGACGCAGTTCGATAAATGTGAATATCTGGTTTCAAAAAAAAATGTGAATATCTCTTGTACAAGATCATGCAAGCACATCATATCCTAATATTGCAAAGAATCAAACTAGATATACTAAACATACAACAGCCAACTACAGAATTGAGCACATATATACATAATTAGTAGGGAACTCAATGGAATTAACCTCACTTGTTTTTACTTAAGAAGCCACAAGGAACTTCAAACAAAAGGAGATACATAAAATCAACTAACATCCTAAAAGCAAGACTCATTTGATTACCTTGAGGTAAGCATATCAGAAGAAACCTTGTTGGGAGAATGGGGTGCCAAATTCGATCGATAGCAGGATCAACTAGCCATAGCTAGAAGACAGGCCAAGTTGGCGTTTATATTTTGATAGATATTGAACAATATTGCGATAATTTAGTTGGTGGATTTTCCAATCATGCGTCCTCTTAGATGCCTTGTCCATTGCATGCTAGCATTGTCGGCTAAAAATCGTGTAACAGATGGATGGATCACTTCCAGTTAGGCCACCTGATTGAATTTGTTGATCTATTCTTTGCACCTGAGGAGCCAGTACTTCCTGGAGCATTGTACCATATCCTCACCAACTGCATGATGGAAAACAATTTGTTAGGATGCATTTGGCAATAGTAAATAAAACTGGTAAACACAGAATCTTTCCGTGACTCAGACAAGATAAGAAAAAGCATGATTAATCAGACTCATCTACCTACAAACCTAAATTACCTGATGCACAAAAAACAAACCAGCACAAATTGTTATAGATATTTCCTCCTTTCTCTTTTTTCTTCTTATTTATTGTATCAACAGAAACTAAAGAAAAGGGAAAGTTAGTGAAAAGTGGTTCCCTTTTTCACTTTTCAAATTGGAAAAATAATTTCATCAACAAATATGTGTATTATCAAATATTATAAATGGAACCATATGGTGGGGGTGAAGCCGTAAAGGAGAGTAAAATAGAGAATTTTCTTTACTATAAAAGAAATTAAGCAAAAGTAGGAAAACAAAAACATACCTAGACGGAAGGTAGGAAGATCAAAAGAGAATAAAGGGAGAAGAATTCATGGAAAAAGTAGAGAATAAACAAGATACTAACATAATATGCAACAAATTTAGAACATGATTTCAAAATAAAAAATATTTTAATAAAAATTTTAAGGCAAGATGAAAAAACGGCAACAAAAAATAGAGTATAAGTCTTCCAACGTACCCCTGCTATGTTAACACTATCACCTTCCTTCACACCCCGATCAATCAGAGATTTATTAACACCACAAGCCTCAAGAACATGTTGGAACCTTTTCTCAGAATCCACATACCTGTTACAAAACACAGATGTTAGGAGCGGTTTGCAATTTTACACAACTTAGAGGTAGAACAATGGGCATCCACCCGATGATTTAGGCAATACCCAACTAATTGAAAGTCTTCAGATTTTCAAAGAAAAGGTGAAGAAAGAAAACAATCAAACTAAAATAGCCTTTTCTCTTGTACAATTTGAAAACATGTAATTGATGCAACTACAATAAGAAAAAATCATGGCCAATAATCCAATGCAACAATTTTACCCAACTAATGCCCAATTCTTTTCACCTAATTTTTATAATATTGTAAATATATTTGTATTGATTGAACTATTACTTCGTATTAAGTATTGTAATATTTACTGATTAAACTGATGTTCCCTGATTAAACCTATTTTTAATCTATTCAGCCTTATTTTTACTAATTTCACTGATTCTAACATGTTATTACTGAATTACTGTGTATACATTTTTTTTAATCAAGGTACTACTTTTACTCAGTAAGACTAAATTTTATTGATTCAAACTTACTATTACTGATTTAAAACATATTTATTGATTCAAACTGATTTATGCTAAACATTGTACTTCAGATGAAGATAACAGGGCCTAAAAGCCAATAACTAGCTTTATTCCCTGCGCCAACTTGAATTTTTCTTAACACCCATATTCTATTTGACTGTTCAGATATTCAGGACTTTCAATTTCCTATCAACCAGTACAAGATTCTCAGTAGATCCAAAAAAATTTAGCTCCAAGGAGCACCTCCTTAGTACCACATTATATGCTCCAATGGGCTTAATTTCAATTCTAGGTACTTTCAGGCCTATGAAAGTTACACATGGCTTCCTCAGAGATATCTCCGATCGTGTGTAAGATGCGAAAGTAAGGCAGAAGAATGCATGCATTAGAATCATTACAAGATTAATTTATATAAATTGATGCAAGTATTGTGAACATACTGCCAATTAGTCATTTGAACAAACCGCTCCAATCCATCACCAACCACATGCCACGTCTTTGAGCTACTATCATGAGAAATCTCAAAATCATTTATAGGGACAGCTCGTTTCTTCTTTATCTCCTCAGCCACATGATTAAGATTGATAGGAGTAGCACAACCTGTAATATAAAGCATTATTTTGTAAATTAAATGTAAGGCAATAAACAAGTAACAGAGGAAATATATTTTCAATTTTTTTTTTCTTTGTTTAAGAATAAATAACAATGCGTGACTTTTTTAATCTTGATGGCTACCTTTGATCAGTTGGTGTTAGTAAAGAAGATAAAATAATTGATTTACAAAAAAAAATGAAAATAAAGGACTTTCACATATACTATTGACTTATACAGATTGACAGTCAAATCAGACAAAAAGTTTAATTTGGCCTATCAATATTGGATGCAGCAAAAGAGCCCCTGATCGATCTAAGGATCTTAATCCACACATCAACAATAAGTGAATAGCAGGGAAAGGGGGTCTTAAACCTTGTTCTGCAATCATCTTAGAAGGCTATTACAGTAATGATATGATGGTAATTCAGAAAGAGGTAAATTAAAATCTCTCTAGTCTGCAGGCAGATTCTTTTAAAGCCAGTCAATGTGTTCTCTCTCTTCTTCATTGTTGATTATCTTTCAAACTATTCCCTCCTTTCCTTACTTTGTGTCCACTTAAGCAAGTTGTCTTAATTTATCTATTCAAGTTATACAACAAATTATTTGTCACTTTACGCAAATCAACTGAGCTCATTTGCTTTGGTCTTCCCTGAAGATCTATAATTTGATAGCTTAGAGAGGTGTAGCCTGGAACCCGCCATAATACTGAAAAAAATTACTTGTCACCATAACATACCAATGATATATCTCTAGTTAGGTTTAAACTCCAATTTAACAACCAATAAAACTTAGGTTATGTTCTCAACAGCTGAAGGTGTTCTAATGTGAATTTTGCAACCTCTGGTTTGGTATAAGGTTTAATCTAATCAACTTCTAGATTTGACTGAACATTGACTGTATTTTTATGCTGATATATAAGAGGAAATTATCAGGTGAGATCTTGTTAGATTCATTTTAATGTGTAATTTTGATGATTTAAATAATTTTTATTAATAAGAAATTAATAAGCAAATGAATAATAGATGTGATTCCGATAAGAAATTAAGAATAGGCAACAATTTTAAGGACTAGGGTGAAGAGTACATAACTTTAAATCATTTAACAATCATTTTGTCCCACAAAAAAATCCCATTTCCCTTGGACTCATAGTTTTAGGAGAGTTGTTGGTAGGGCCTTGTTGAGTGTAATTGAATGTAGGTGAATTAAAACAGTAGGCATTGTTTATTCTTTTCACAGAGGGACCATTTAAAATCAACCCACGAAGGAAGAAAAATAAAGCAATTTAATAATTAGTGGACACAACTTGATGGAGAAATGGAAAGTTTATTGAGGGACAAGCATGGGGAGAATGGAAACTGTTATGTGAGACAGGAGTATGAATGTATAATATTCTGATTTACTTAAGAAAGAATGGAGGAAGATTAAGACCATGAATTATTAAGAGCTGGTATGATATTAACAAAAATGGTGAATCACTGTACAATGTCCATTCAGGAATGTCAGTTTGTGTAATGCGAAAGAACCTAATTGATTTTGGCGCCTTCTTTCTTTGTTCACTGATTTTGAAAAAAAGAATTGGCAAGACCGCAGCGGAATATGGTATGATTCATTTTTTCTGGATAAAATAAAAGTTCTCCACTAACAGGCTTAATCTTATTAAAAGCAACATAGAGAAATAACAAAAAATTTACCTTCATCTTCTTTGACAGCCTCCTTAAATTTCTTTACGAACTCATAGGCAGCGCTAACCACTTCATTTGTACCCTGGTTACTTATAGCACTCATACAGAAAGGTTGAATATCCTCGGCTAATAAATGTTCCCTAAAAACTTCCCATCTTTCAGAAGCTTCTGGAAGATCCATCTTGTTAAAAGCAACAAGATAAGGCTTTTCGGCAAGTTCAGGGTTAAACAATTCAAGCTCCAGACGAATTGCGTCAAATTCATATTCTGGCTGCGGAGATGAACCATCAACAACATGCACCTGAAATGAAATGCAAACAGGCGCTCGTATCAGGAAAAGTAGAAAAAAACAGCTTAAGTGTACTCAACAAACAATAAAACATATAATTATTATAACCCTCGTACTTTGAATTCTTTAAGCTTTTTACAATGAAAACAAGAATGTAGTTATAACTAACATATAATTAATTAAACAGCCTCTTCTTTTTTTTTGGGGGGATCATCATGTTCACATTTCTAAAATTGGTTATGGGACCCCTTGGGTCCAGATCATGGGTTCAGGCTGTTCAGCAAGATAAGATGCTAAAGTAACCCATAGTAGGATGCAAAAATCTGAGAAAATATAGAAGTGAACTTCATCCGTAAGATTAAATGATTGAACGATGCCCAGATTCATATACTACACTAATTCCTGATGTAAAAACATATAGTTTATTATAAGCAACACATTGCTCATAACGTAGAAGATGCACGTATAGAAAAACCTAGCAGATTAGCAGGACAACAGTTCCCTATATTATCCAGCAGTCAAAAGACATCACAAGTCAGAATTTAACTCATCAAACATCAACATCAAGTTCCTATTGTGGAAGGTAAAATGGCATTTCAAAATCCAGATCTAGATCTTTCTCATAAGATAGGAATCTAATTTTTTCTTTCTTCTTCATTCCTATTACGTTCAGGAAACATCATTTTTGCCAATTCAGAAAAGACATTGACAGGTTCAACCATCTTCCTTACCCACTAAATACAAGTAAAATTATTGGTAATTGAAGTGTAATACAAATTTGAAACTTAGAATTCCAACGGTCATTTGCTTTGTAACTCAAACTATCATGTCACCTCAAGTACTCATGTCGGATTATGTGATATCCTCGACAGTCCGACATGGACTGAACACGTGACACAGACCATATTTTTTTACTAACCCAGTGAGACACTTGGATGCGTACTCATGTCCGACATGATGTGTGGTAACAAAGGTCAGCAATATATTATGTCAGACAATTGATTGTTTATTTATTGTTTCAAATCTGTAACTAAAATGCTAATAATTCATATAGCAAGGGGGATTTCACAAATGTCTTGTACCAGGACAGAACATCTTTCAGTATGTCGCAGAAATTCATGGCCTAAACCAAAACCTCGATGTGCACCTTCAAGTAAACCTGGTAAATCAGCTACAATCATTGTAGAATCATAATCGAATGAAACTACACCAAGATTAGGAAGTAGTGTTGTAAAAGGGTAGTTTGCTATTTCTGGTCGAGCAGCACTTATCACGCTAAGAAGTGTGCTTTTTCCAGCATTTGGAGCACCAATAATTCCAACATCAGCAACTAGCTTGAGCTCTAACTCCAACCACCTAATTGCAAAAATTCGTTAATCTCAATATCGACACGCCATGTAAAGCCACTAATTGCATATAAGTAGAATAAGAAGAGAGTAAAAAACAGCATCTACTTCTAAGGACCAGCAATATACATTTTGCTACCGTATTATGGAAGAATAATTAGGCTTGTATGTATCTTTATAATATTACATTGTTTACCAAAGCTTTATTATGTTAGGAATCCCTTTTCTTTTTACTAAGATTCCTGTACTTCTAATGTTTGGCATGTAAATATCAGTGCTAGGTTGTATATATACTTAATTATTAATAATACAAGATTCCTCAAATTCTACATGGTATAGTGTGCAGGTCTTTCGGATGCTAAGCCTGTGCCATTTCCAATTTAGACGAGAGGTTTTATCCAGAGCCCTATAGGTGCTTGGTTGAGCGCCTCATTTATCTGTTTGACACACACCCTGATTTAGTTGAGCGCCTCAAATCCAGGAAAGAACACTAGAAAGCAATGAATTCTAAGGCATCTATGTGGTACATCAAAAATGTGCTTTTGGTTCAAAAGATCCTATGTTAAAGGAATAACCATTAATAGCAGATATGGTAAATGATGTTGATTCACGAAAGTCAGTATGTGGTATTATGAGGACTTTTGAAGGGGGAGCTATATCATGACAATCAAGGTTACAAAAATTTGTTGCTTTGTCAACAATAAAAAAGTAGGGACTATTGCTGCAACAATCGAAGCTAGCAAAGAGCTCTTGTGGATGGAAATTTTCCTACAAGAGTTGGGATTCAAGCAAGAAAATTATATACGTTATTGTGATAGCCAAAGTGTTATTCATGTGGGAAAAAAACCTACCTTTGATGCCTGTTTGTAACATATAGATGTAAGGTAACATTGGATACAAAGAGAGCCTTTGAAGCCAATATGTTGTAAGCTATTAGAGACAAAAATAACATTATAGCTTGCAACAAGCTTGATTGAAGAGAAAGAAAAACAAGCTCCACTAAAAGTCTAACATGTGTAATAAATTTTATACTATTAATTATCATTTTCGTAAGCTACAATATGTTGTAGCTAACCACTGAAATACTTTGTAGCTAGAAGGTATATAGACTAAAATATTATAGCATGGGGTTTGATAAAACAAAAATAAAAAAATGGATGATTTAGGAAATAAAGAATGGGAGTAAATATAGGAAAAGAAGAAATAATAGAAGAAAATGAAATAAAAACATAGAGATAAATAATGCATATCATTCTTATTTAATGGTTAATATATATATATATATATATATATATATATATATATATATATATTGTGAAAACCCCTCGTAACATTTTTTTATGTGAGAATACTCTCTATATTTTAAATTTTTACTCTTGTGTTTTAAATTTTAAATCACATGTTCTGAAATTTTACAAATGTGTTCTAAATCTTAAATGAATTAAATAAAATTTTCTAAATTATTACTTACATGTTCAAAATCTTAAATTAGTTGTTCTTTTAACTTATATGTTGATGTTCCAAATTTGAATCGTGTGTTCTAAGACTTTAATCATATGTTCTAAATTTCACTCATGTGTTCTAAAATTTTACTCACATGTTCTAAATTTTACTAATATGTTCTAAATTTTAAATAAGGTATTTTACATTTTTACTCACATGAATCTTAATGAATGTTCGGAATTTTAAATCAGATTTTTTTAAAACATTACTCACATGTTCTGATTCTTAAATCAGATGTTCTAAATTACTTCCTCCGTTCTTATTTACTTGACCTATATCTTTTATCACGCTTGCCAATGCAAAACTTTAACAACCAATAACTTTAATTCTCCATAAGTAAAAATTATAGATATTAAATATTATGATAGTTCTTATTGAGATGAATCTAATAAAATCCCACATGAATATATTTTCACTTACATATAATTCACAAAAAATGGTCAAAGGAAGGGTGATTAATAGTGTAAAAGTCAAAGGGGGCCAAGTAAAAAAGAACAGAGGAAGTATAACTCACGTAGATGTTCTAAATTTTTACTCATATGTTCTAAATTTTTACTCATGTTCTAAATTACTCACATGCTCTAAATTTTAGATCTATTCTAAAACAAGTAAGGGTTCTCACAAAGAGACATAATCTCACCGGATCCCTAATATATATTAACTTCTAAAATTTAATTAGATTGTACTACACCTCCATTCTTTATGTTCTACTCACGTACTCTACACAATTTAAGAAATTGTTAAAGAATGTGAGTGGAAATAAGTAATGTAAGAATGAGAATGTAAAAAGATGAGTTTGTGTAAGGTAAGAGAGAGATGGAAAGGTGTAATTATTGTAAGGTTCAAAACATATGATGGAAAAGGGGTATGCCAAAAATAGGATAAAATAAAGTGAGTAGAACATAAAAGAACGGCCTTAAATAAAAAGTAGGTAAAACAAAAAAAACGGAGGGAATAGCACATTAATCAAAAATATAAAAACACGTTAAATTTGAAAGTATACCATCATATATTAGTTAACACTTCCTCCGTTCCCCAAATATTGTAACATGGGGATGAGACACAGTTTTTAAGAAGAAGGGGGAGATAGAGAGGAATAAACATAGGGACCAATGTGATGTGTAGAGAGAAAAAGAGAAAACATGTGCAAATAGGAAAATGTTACAATATTTTTGAACTTTCCTATAATGGTAATTGTTGCAATATTTGTGGATTGGAGGAAGTATTTATAAACGCAGCTTGCGTTATTCTCTTAACTTATACATATAAATTTACTAGCTTATTTTGTCTATAATTGAAAAGAAAGAGAATATTGTTTTCGCTTTAAGATTGTTGGGCCACCCAAGTCCCACATGAAAAGAATAAGGAACAATTACATTCCTTATCAGTGTCCACCTATCTCCATTAGTATTTTTAGGTAGGTGCACAAAAACAAAGCTATACGGGCTATTCCAAAAGCAAACAATATCATACAAATGTGGGGTCAAGGTGAGCATGCAACCAAACAAGTTGGATGATCGGGTCCAACGAGTGGTATCTGAGCCAAAGTTAGGGAGATGGACCTTTAAAAATGGTTGCATTTGCGTAATGTGGGAAGCCCACTACGATTGAAGATCTATGGTGCCTTATATCGAAAGTCTACCTAAGATTGGGGTAGTTAGGTGGTGTATTCCATGATGGTAACAATAGTGTTAGATGATTCCAGTTCAAGAGAGGCCATGAGTTATGTGGTCCTTGGTTTGAGGGGAGAATTGTCGGGGTGTCAACCCAAGTCCCATGTGGAAAGAATAAGGAAGGGTTATGTTCCTTACAAGTGTCCACCCATCTTCATTAGTATGAGACCTTTTGAAAAGATGGCCAAAAACAAATCCATGCAAGCTAGGCCGAATGTGGGAGTAGAGATGAGTGTGGGGCCAACAAGTTAGATAACCGAGGCCAACAAGAAACCGAGTTAGGAATGGATGGAAATCATACTTAGCAATAAGTTAACATACATCTTGCTTGAGTACTGTTTGGATAAAGATCACTCAAACACCTATTACACATGAATCAAGGTTAGAACTTAGAAGAAGCCCTACTTTACGAATGATTAGCAACCTTCCATAAGAAACTTGAGAAGACACATGCACCTCTAGGCTTACTTATGACCAGATGTTTGTCCTCTATAAACTCCCTCTTCCACAATGAATTCAAAACCTTATTGAACACGTGGTTTTCTATCAAAATTTACAGTTCACAAGCCACAATTCACAATATTTACAGAACCATGATGATTTAGTTGTACTACAGACTAAAGCCCAACAAGAATTTTAATATTAGGAACAAGTATATACGTAAATTATATAGAGGAAATAAAATTTTATAAGTAAAAATCTATACCATCCAATTTCAGAAAGTCAGACATGAAACTAGACATTTCAACCGCACATAACCTATGCACTGGAAAGTGTTTGTTCCTAGTTGCAAGGATGACAGCAGTGGAGTGCTATAATCCCAAACCTCAAGGAAGCATGTTTGATCTACCCTCCTTGTTTTGCTCAAAACATATAAATGATAACATTGAAGAGGGATAGAGAAACAAAACTGAATAATGGAAAGTTCAAATCATTACATCATATCTAGATATAATATCTTTAATGAAGGTTCTAAAACCAAACCATGTCTCCTCAAAGCTGATGTCAACTAAACTGCTGCTATCTTTGATATGTTTGATGTGCCCTACCCTATTCTTCCAAATGCTTTATCGACACCCTCCTCTAAAGCACATTGGTTACAAATTTGTGATGAAAACCACATTGATTGCATGTGTAAAATCACCAAAATTAAACTTTCAATTTAGTATCTAACGGTCATAGACATACTAAGTATAAGATATTTAGACATACTATATTTGACTATAAACATAGATTACATACGGAAGCAGTCGATACCATCTCCAACAAACATGTTACAAAGGGCAATTTTTTTCTCAACCATCCTCATTGCCTTGTACTCCCCCTCATCTTACCCCAAGAGAAAACAAAAACAGTTAAATCATAAACACAAACACACAAGTAATAAAAAATTCCCAAAAACAGAAGAAAACATTAAGGTTAGGCTACGAGCAACAAACAGATCAAAAAACTGCAAAAGGATTTGACCAACATTTTAATTTTAATAGTCTATCTTACTAATTAGAGAGCAACAAGCCAACAAGTACTCATAAATCAGAACAACTAGAAGTAGTATACTATCAAAATTTTAAGAAAAAAGGACACTCACATTTCAGGACCTTCCTCCCCATTTTCTGCAATCCTTGGCACCTTATTCATTCCCGACTTAAACGCAACATTTCCCCTGCCACCTCTACCGCCAGGCAAAAGCAATGCCCTCTGCCCTGGATGCAACAACTCTAACAACACTTGGCCTTCAACCCCATCATCCCTCGCCTCTCGAATCACAGTTCCCGGCGCAACCTTTACCACCACATCCTCTCCTTTAGCCCCATGCTGATTTCTCCCCTGCCCATGCGCCCCTCTCCCAGCCCTAAAATGCACACAATTCCTAAAAGGCAACAACGAATTCATTGCCCTATCCACCTCCACATACACATTCCCTCCTCTACCACCATCTCCCCCCGACGGCCCCCCCAACGGCACGTACTTCTCTCTCCTAAATGCCACCACCCCATTCCCACCATTTCCAGCCTTCACAAATATCTTCGCCCTGTCAAAACATCTCATCACTGCTGGAATCCCCTTCTCCTTCTCCTCCTCATCCTCCTCGAGTAAACCCTCAAATTCTTCGCCTTCGAAAATCACTAACTCACCATCTTCTTCTTCATAATCAATGTCTTCCTCATCAGAATCATATTCTTCCTCTAAATCTTCATCCTCATTATCTGGAATTTCATAGTCCTGATAATTAAACCCACTGAGATTTTCCCCATTTCCCAGCTGATCAAATTCACCCAGTCCAGTGCTAATTCTTTGCTCCTCTTCGAATTTCGGAACAACAGATGAATCAGAAAGCTTGATTTCTCGATAAGTGTAAATGAGAGAAGAGGCGAGAAAGTCATCTCTAGGTGGGAGACGAGTATAAGTGGTTGCTTCAATGGCGATTGATGATGTTGATGATAATTTTTCGTCTAAATTACTAGAATTAGATTTTGCTTTTGATTTTGACTTAGATTTTGATTTTGATTTGGAAAGGATTTGGGGATTAGGGTTTTTAGGGAGGTTCTTGCGGTAGAGTTTACTAGGGCGAGATAAGGCGAGAGGTGAGAAGGATATGGATACGGAAGACATTGATGTTGAGCAAAATTGAGAGTGAGAGAAGGTGCAACTGTGCAAGGTTCTGTACTTCTCGGGTTTATTATACTTTGTAGATAGACCAGGTCTCCACGTGTCTACTTTCTGTGCCAACAGAACGACTAATTATTATTCATACTCGAACAAAAATCCAACGCAACTACATCTTCTACCACACTTGGAAACCTCCCAACCCACAACCTAGTACTAGGGGTGGGACTTTTCAAATCGAACCGTGAAATCGCCCGTTACCGAACCGAATCATCACGGACCGATCCGTTTATAAACCGATAAATATAAATCGAAAACCGAACTGAACCGTTCAATATCAAACCGAAACCGAATTGAACCGCTGAATGTCAACCCGTTACGGACCGTAAACCGATAACAAACCAAACTGCGCAAATCCGAACTGAAACGAAATCGAACCGAATGGTTTATAAACCCGTTAATGACCCGAACCATTTATAAACCAAAACCGTTTAAACAGAAAAAAAAAAAAACCGTTTAAACCGAACCATTTGTAACCCGCTAACCGTTTAAACCGACCCGTTTATGAACCAAAACCGTTTAAACCGCACGTATAAACCGAACCGTTATAATCCGCTAACCGTCTCAACTGAACTGTCATAACCCGTTAAACCGTTAAAATCGAACTGTTTTCGAATCGCAACCTGTTTAAACTGATCCGATTACAAACTGCTTAATTCAAATTGAATTATTTACAACCTAAATGGCTAAATAGTAAATACAATTAATGTTAATAAATGTAGATCTAATCAAACGGCGTAGGTTTATACAAAGGTTTATATCACCTAGATCTAGGCCAACGGCATTATTAATATTGTTTCAGATTACTTATTTATTTTAATTACAAGATATATCATTTGTATCATTTTCATTCCAGTAATAATGCTAGTCCACCCAAATTATCTTCATTGTTCCTTCATAAAGATATTCATGATCATCCAATAACACTCAAAGCCTCAAAGATAACATAAGATTGGAGATGTATGAGATTGTGTTACACAAGTGGCATAAGCATTAGAATATTACTGTACTAGTCAATAAGGCGTACAATCATTCACATTATCACTTTATAAAACTTTCTTATACAAGTATTTTGTAAAGGGGAGGACTAAAATGTTTATAAAACACATTTTTTTATCTTTTCTTAAATTAAACCAGATATTAAGTAAAAGAATTTTAATAAATACGGAGGCATCCCAAATCTGAAGCCACAATTATTTCATAACATTACCACAAATCCAGCAGATAAATAGCATTAAAATTAGAGTAATATCAACAAGCAATTAAAAAAAGTCACCATTTTCATTAATTAAAATTCACAATACATATACCAATACATAATGAAACTACTATCACTACTACCCAGATTAGATTTCAGATTTATCAACTGAAACATCATCAAGTTCAGGGTTGCAAAAAATGATACATGATAAGATGAAGGGAGGAGTGAGAATGTGAGTGATTTGGGAGAAGAATCTTGAAGCAGAATCTTGAAGCAGCAGCACAGCACCCAAGAGCAGAGGAAATAGCATCAACAAGCAGGAACCAGCACACGCAATAACCGATCAGCAACTTATCAGAAGCAAGGAATAATATAAGCAGAAGGGACTCAGCAGGAACTTATTTTTGTTTTCGAAATTGCTCACAGATTTACGTTTATCGTATCATCACTGAGCAATGACTGTTTTAACTTAAAACCTGAAAAATGCTGCCAGCAAGTACATATACATTGAAGTCTCAACATAAATGACAAGGGCAACGATGATTCAAGAAAAATTAAAACAGCAAGCATAAGAAACAGCAACAACAAAACTTATCATAAATTCATAACACAAAAGGCAGCAACACAGCACCTCAAGCTGGCAGGAGGCAGGAACCAGCTCATGCAGGCAACAATATAGGCAATAACAACTCAGAGACAACAACCAAAAGGCAAAAGCACTACCAGCAGGCAGCAGCTCATAACAAGTTCAAGCAACTTCAAAATTATAGCTTTTGTTTTTTAAAATTGCTCTCAGATTTTACATCACTGAGCAATGGTTGTTTTAACAAAAACTTGAGAAATGCTGCCAGCAAGTACCAAAATACATTTAACTATTTAAGTCTTAACATAAATGACAAGGGCAACGATTTTAAAAGTCTTGAAAAATGTTGCCAGCAAGTCTGAAAATAAATGACAAGGGCAACGATTTTTCAAGATAAAATAAACCACAATGAGACACAAATACCAGTTATGCAGATGAAGCACTTTCGGCTTCAATCTCTTTACCAATAAGGAGGACGTCTTCCTCAACATCCGCTTGATAACCACGACACCAATTTTGGGTGGTAACCAATGCCTCAACATTCTTTGGCAAAAGTTTACCCCTATATTTGTTCAAAATATGACCACCCAAACTAAAAGAAGATTCAGAGGCCACCGATGTAATAGGAATGGCCAAAACATCCCTTGCCATATTAGCTAAAATAGGAAGAGAAGAAGCTTGAGATTCCCAGTACTTGAGAATGTCAAAATGTTCCCCTTGAATTAATCGCGAACGAGGTCCATTCAAATATGCCTCAAGATCAGCCAGAGGGCATCTAGTTGAATCATCACATTCGTCATCAACCTCATGCAACTGAAACAGATTTTTTATTAGAAGTTAAATTATGACATTACAAATAAAAATAGAAGACTACCATTAATATTGAGTATATTGTATAACATAAATACCGTGAAAATATTTTGAGATCTCAACGTGCGATTAGAATTTTCAGATTGAGCTGTGTTTGAAGAGGCAAGATTTCTGCAGCTTGTATTAGATGCAGTAGAATAAAATTTATAAAGGTCATAAAAAGCTTCCTTAATCATCATAATCTTTTCGTCGCATGCTTCATCATTATACAACGAGTTCAACATATGTCTCACTCGAAACAACTTATAACGAGGATCAAGAGCAATAGCAACTGAAAGTATCAAACTATAATCCTCCTAATAACTCTCAAACTTCTCAAGCATAACTGCTGCCATGGGTGCAAGTTTAGGGTCTTTAAAGGCTTGAGTAATAGCGTACTCAATTTTTAAAACACTAACAAAATACAAATTAGAAGTGGGATATTCTTTGCCACACAAATTACAACGAGCATAATCTACCTTTTCATTACCTATCGTCTTTACAAAAAAAGTGTAATTCTTCCATATACCTGCGGTTCTTTGACGTTTATTAACAGAAGGATTGATAATGCCGGTATTACTAGCATCATCATCCGGGACAGAGGCAGCTTGAGAGCTAACAGTATCAAAATTTGATTGCCTCTCATAGTCAAATTCATCATACTCACGAGACATGACTGAAACAAAAAAAAAAAAACAACATTTATAAGTACCAAATTAAGTGACAGATTCTACTAATAGTGAGCAATTAAGCATGCATTGTCTCATGTGACTGACATATGTGTACATTCTAAGTACTAACTTTAAGCAAACTTTAAGCCAATCATACAAGTATACATTTTAAGCATGCATGATTTCCCTGGTAAGTCATTTTTTTCAGTAAGGCATAAGGACCCACAATTGAATTTCAATGGATAAATTCATTCTTGAGTACAAAATATGCCAATTATTACAAGTCTGCAATTGACAGTATGGTCAACCATCATTTTTTATGGAGTATGGACCAAAGCATGAAGCACAACTGCACAAGTATTCCAATAAATAAACAATGCATGTATTCCAATAATAATAATCACATAATCTGAACAACCCATCATCATTACTTTTAAATCGAGCATAATAAACAACAAAACAGCACAAATCTACCATTTTCCCGTAAAAAACAAAAATACAATCAACAACAGATTTTAGGCATATTTCGACTATATTCAAGCAAGAACAACAACAATAATCAAATACAAAAACAGAAAAACTATATTAAAAAAAAACGAAAAGGAAAAAGTAATTACCTTTGACGGCTTGAAGGAGATTTGAAGATGGAGAACTGCCTGAACTGGAGACCAAAAGAAAAAATCAAGAATGTAGATTATCAGAACTTGAAATAAAAAAAACGAAACGAAAACGAAAAAAATCGAAAAAATTAACAAAAAAATTACCTTGAGGTTTGACGGCTTGAAGGAGAGGAAGATTTGAAAAAAAAAAAAAAAACGAGAATGGAAAAGTCAGAAATCAGAACTTTAGATCCAAAACAAAAAATGAAACGAAAACAAAAACCCTAAATAAAAAAAGTAAAAAATCGAAACGAAAACGAAAAAAATCAAAACGAAAACAACAAAAATTAACAAAAAATTATCTTGAGGTTTGACGGCTTGAAGGAGAGGAAGATTTGAAAAAAAAAAACGAGAATGGAAAAGTCAGAAATCAGAACTTAGATCCAAAACAAAAATGAAACGAAAACAAAAACCCTAAATAAACAAACCGAAACAAAAACGAAAAAAATCAAAACGAAAACAACAAAAATTAACAAAAAATTACCTTGAGTTTTGAACTTTTGACGGCTTAAAGCCTTCAAATTGAAGGAAAGGAAGATTTGAAAAAACAAAAAAACGAGAATGTAAAGCGAGAAATCAGAACTGTAGATCCAAAACACAAATGAAACGAAAACAAAAACCCTAATTAGGATTTTTAAAAGTTGAGAAGTTGAGATTCTTGAGAATTTCAAAACGAAAGAGTGAGGAACTGAGAAGTTAGAGAGAGAAACTATGATAGATTGAGAATAGAAGAGTGACTTGAGTGAGTAAAAGTGTAAAACGGCTGAATGGCTGATAGAGTGGGTTTTTTTTTCTAGGTTTATGTTTTACTTGTTCAGTTGATCTAACCGTCCATATTCAATCTCAACATCTAACCGTTCATTTTTTTTTTTTGTAGATTTCAGAATATTCATCTAGATCTAACGGTCTAGATTTTTCTTTGTGCTTTTCTAGGTCTCTTTGACCGTTTTTTTTAATTATTTATTATTATTATTATTTTGAGGGATTATTATTATTATTATTATTACTATTATTATTGTTAGTATAATTATTTGTTAATATTA